CTTCTTGAACAGGACATTAACGTTTGTTTCAGGAGAATAATTAATACAAGATTAACTTTAGGGTCTTTGGAATTAGCCAGTCAGAAAAGCTTTGTTTAGTCAGAAGCTGTGATAGTTCGTGCTTTGCACAGAAATGTTTTTCACCGAGTGCTCAAGGACAACAGTTTGTAGCAGGTACTGCTTTACTTTATTCCCCAGGGTGAATTGTATTGATCTTAGTTGCTGAATTAGCATTTCATATCACCTTTGCTCATTTAAAATGGTGATTGCTGATATCTCACCGAGGACAAATGGCTGGCTCGGGAATTACAGCTGAGGGCGATACGGATCAGCCGCAGAGAGTTAACGAGTTCTCATCCCAATGTAAATAGATGTGTGCGTGTGCGTGTGTGTGTGTGTGTGTGTGTGTGTGTTGATTGCTCTAGGGCACTCCCTTGAGTGAAAGTGTCATTCTTAGTAATCAAAGAACAAACTGGGGGAGGATTACAAATGATGGTATTGTTGGAGCATCTGTCAGCGTTTGCTTTAAAGGAAGGTTATTCTCTGCAGTCTGTCGGTATTTCTGGGATCGTTTTTATTTTACATGTTGAGAAGTTGAACAAGCAAAAGGTCAATATCAAGCATTAAATAATTACTTGATTTGCTTAAATATTTTAAGTGTACATTTTGTTAGTTGTACAGAAAATTGGATTTGTGAAAGAATAAGAAATTGCTTCTTGTGGTGCATGCTAGCTCTTCAATTTGACCTTTTCACCAACAAGAGCTTGGGTTGTTTTTTCCAGATCCCTTCAAAATGTCTTCTCTGAACTCCAAACTTCTCACACATGCAGCTGGTTTCCCACTTTTTCAAAATAACCCAACATGATTGGTTGGTACTCCGATCAGAGAGGCAAATCCTTTAGCGTCTAGCAGTCTGATTCCGATTATTAGGGTCACGATTAGATTCAGAAACAAAATTTGATTCAGAAACTAATCTTTCTATTAAAATTTCTAGAAATTAGAAATTCTGTTTAAGTTATGTGACTGACAAGATGAAAAGACAATGCAAATACATAGAACATTTATTTAAAACTATTCTTTAAGGTTTTGTGCTCTATCAAATTCCAGTTTTGTGTATTAAATTGCCAGCATTAGGTTAGCTTAGCTAAATGGCTTTTTCTTAAATAAAAATGATCAAGAATTATTCAAAATAAATACAGAGTAGAGTAGAGCTGCTCTATTAATATCATAGTACTGCTAGAAGTTCTGTGCAGTGACATTAAACCTAATCTAATCTAATCTAATCTAATCTATATGGTCATGAATATTGTAGATATTTTGTCAGATGATGCTCTAGTCTCTTTGCACTGTTAGACACTGTAGGCTTATTGTCCTCACGTTTAGAACAATCACTAATGATCACATTTACTAGACCAAGACTGGAATGGTGGCTTATCATCAGGTGTGGACTTTGACTGGTCCATCTGCACAGCATGGTGCCACCACCATGTTTCATATAGAGCTGTTTGTGTCCTTGTCAAGAACTCTATTGTGATCCACTAAGACTTGTGGTGAATTGATCACTCACCACAATCGGCTACTCTTAGCGCAGCAGCCAATAAGAGTGATCAACTGAGGTAAAACTTTTCTTTCCCACAAACAGTCGGGTTTAGACCTACTGACTCCTACTCTCTGCTGGATGTTCTGTTCCAGGCATGCTGACGCTGACGAAACAGAAGCAGTAGCTGGTTAATGTAGCTCATGTCATTTGGGATTTTCTTTATCTCTTCTTGAGATTTTCTGCAGAGATTTTTTTCTGCCAAATCTCAGATTTTTATGGGTTTTTCTTCCCTGTTTTCCATGTTGAACCATGTGGATGTTATGTTTTAGTTCTTGTGAAATTGGTGGATACAAATATCAGTGGGAAAGTTTTTCATAATAAGCTTCCTCAAGCTCAGTTAACTTCTCTACGAGAGCTGAATCACAAATAAATTGAAAACAAAGCCATATGGATGTTCTGCAGGAGCAAAAGGAGAAGAAAGTAGAAGGATGTAGATCGTCTTGGTGAATGCAGTAAATAAAATCAAGCAGCCTGGAGCAATGGCGAGGAAGCAGAAGTGGTGAGGCATTTAGCTAATTGGGAGTTTTGTCAAGACATGACAGCAGGAACATATTTTAGTCTTCAACAAGATCACTGTACCATTTATAGACGGTACAGGCAGGCGAACCCAGCAGGAAATGGAAAACAGGAGAGAAAGTAGAGCTTGTTTGCTGTCATTATTATCAAGCAATACAACATGTGGTACTTCATCTTTGTGGTGGCAGCATCATGCAGTGTGCTTTATTCAGCTGGAACATGGAATCTGGTCAGAACCATACTTTTCAAATTTGTACTTCTGAATATTTTGAAGGATGTGTTTTTCTTGTGTTTCTCAAGAAATGCTCTATGTTGTGCTGAGCTGTCTCTTAAAGAGGCAGTATCATGTAAAATCAACTTTTTGAGCTTTACATCATGATGCAATGCAAGTCCTTCATCAAAAACATGCCTGGAGTGTTGCTTTGATCGAAGACACATCCTGTGGTTATGGAAAGCTGTAGTCTTTTTAAAAAGGATCAAAGCAAATAAATCATCCAAGGAGATTGCAGAAACTACTGAAAATGGTTTCAGAACTTCCCAACACACTACCAAAAACTGGAAGAAAAATGGGGAACCATTATCTTTGAAATCATTTAGGATTTATTTCATACAACATTTTTTCCTCAAACATTTTGTAAAATCAACAGATTTTCTCTTTTCTGAAGGCACAGGCATATTCCAGTATGATAATACCAGGATTCATCGGCTCAGACTGGGATTGGATGGATCGCCTCAGACTCTGGACCTTATCCCCACTAAGGATCCCATCATAGTATCTCCTGTTCAAACCTTCTTCTAGAACTCCAGAAAAGACTTTGAGCAAGATCTGATTCTCCCATCATCAAAACAAGATCTTGGTGAAAAGTTAATGCAACTCTGGATGGAAGTGAATCATGTGACATTCCATGACAATGTCACAGCGAATGGAAGCTGTAAGCAAAGGGAAAGGAGGACCAACAAAATATTAGAGTGTTATCAGTTTTTTTGATCATCCAGTGTACATGCAGGTTCACAGTTGTGCTAAGACAAAATGTGGCAATGAAAACATCTGCTTACATGAAAGGAGTCACACAAGCAATGATTAGCACAATAACCCAACAAGACAAATTATGTTCCACCTAATAAATAGAATTTTTCAGAACAGGGTTTTAAAACAGGACAGGAATCCTAATATAAACAACAGTGTCTGTGCAGCAGTTCCACTCCACAGAAAGTGGAAACTAACCGTATGTTTGGCTGCAGGTTTACCACTCCACTATTTATATCTACAGACGCCCTGTTTGACTCAGACAGCAGCGTGTCGCTCCGGGCTAGCTTCATAGCAGGCTCCGGCTTCTTCTCCCAGGCTGTCATCTCTCTGTTGTGTTGATTTGTGCGACTGGAGGCACCATCAGGCTGATCCTCTTTTCCTCTGCAGGTTGCTCTGCACTCGAGATCTAAGCAAGAAACAAATTCAGTTCTCAGTAATGCCAGAGTCGGATCAACGCAAATAATGTTCCATAATGATTTTCTGCAGCTCACCTACATACAGTCACAATGCTTTTGCTCCATGCTTAGGAGTCTGAGCTGACAACGAACCTAATCAATCCCTTTAACTAAGCAATTTGGCTCAGATCACTTTAAAAATCAGTCAAAGTCTCCATTCCACCCTCATCATAGCTCAAGCAGACCTAAAATCCATAGCCTCATTACATCGTCCAGCTGACAGCATTCTTTCATTACCCTGACATTCCTTTCATCTTGAGAAGATAGTCTGCTAAAGTAGGACATTCATTTTTTCTGAAAGATGTGACAGTGTTGGCACCAGAGTAAGGAGAATCTCAGGTGGGTTATCACCTGCCCTAACCGCTTCTTAGGTCTTTGGGGAAGTGAATAATATGACAAAAATATTATTCGAGCAGCAAGGTGCCACATGTTGAGGCCTCTACATGAGGCAACTCTTGCTGCTGGTGTCTGAAATTGACTTGCGATTTGTCATTTACAGAATATCAGGTTCTTCCAGGTTTTATGTCCCTCTTGTGGCAACACTAAGGTAGGGATCTGATACTCTGCTCCTCACAGCAGGGTAACCAGAAGTTGTCAACACCACCTTGGGAATTGCACCCAAGGAAATAGACTGCCAGTAGGCTCGAGGTTCGTGACCAAGGAGAACAAGACTTTTCCAAAAAAATTAATTACATTTTATTGTTTCATGTTAAAAAGAGACAATCACAACATAAGGAACACAATAGGAAGGGAGTGTACAGTACTGAGGCCTACCAGCAGGGGGAGGGCAGTCCAAATGGGAACTGGTTAAAAAAAAAAACAAAAAAAAAAACTACTACAATTTAAACTTGGGCACAGACTAAAATGAGGTTACCTCCAACATAACCAATTAAAATCATCAATGCTTTAATAGAATAGTCTAAAATAATTCATGGCTGCTACCTGCAGCAAGGCTGGAGGCCACACAAAACAATAGAATGTTCCAAAGTAAATTTAAACCAAAGAAAACCCAAAACTAAGCAACTAAACGAAACAAAACAAATTAAACAAAGCAGTTACAAAAATGAAACAAGATAAACTAAACAAAAGAATGAAAGAAAACAGTGAAACAAAACAGCAGGGTCTCCAGCGAGCTGCAGCAGTGTCAGAGCTGGAATCAGATGAAAAGGTTAGTATGTGATTTACAGAAGGTGGAAGCCAGAGGAAACCATCGTCACCTACCAGAGCTGGATGACTTCACCTCAAACCAGAGGATCCTTTCCAGCCCACAGCAGGAGGATCAGCTTTCCAATATGTTCTATATATAAATAATTGTTATTTTTGGTGTTATGGAGCTGTATAGGTGCAAACAAACAACACATACCAGTTTTATGTGAAAACTGCACTGGAGAGGGTGAATTACAGCCACACCCCAGTACCCAGCAGGAGACTTCCAGTGGTTTCTAGATTTAAACAATTCAAATCAAACACTGAATTTGTAGATCTTATGCAGAAGGAGAAACATTACTTACTGATGTTAGAACTTAAGAACTGCATGCTTTCCAAGCGACCTTCCCAACAGCGTGTGACCAAATGCCAGCATAAGCAACCAGGAGAGAGAGTCTCCCTTTATACTCTCCACCCATCATGAGGTGATTAGGGGGCCAAGTGTTCTGAATATTGGGGCAGGCTTCTTCCTGCTACGCTCTGTTACCGTACCTTGCACGTCTGGCACTTATGAAAGAGTAATAAGGAAAACATTGTAGCTGAGTGTCCATTGACCTTAAAATTACAAAATTTGATTTTCCAAAAATAAATTTGCGTAATGTTTCATTAAGGCATTTTTGAGGCTTTAGGAAGAAAAGAGGTTTGTGATTTTTCTTTAAAAAAATCACTGAAAGTATTTGTTTCTCTGGTTCTCACAGATCAGAGACTCCTTTGTGAGGATTTTTAGAAGAATGTCCCACTATCTTTTTTTTTTGGCAACATTTTCCCTTCTATTCAACTTTCCATAAATAAACTTGGATACTACAGCAATATGTGAACAACCAGCTTCTTCATCAGTTGGAGGTTCATCCTGCTTGTTGAAGGTGACTGTCAAGTCTGCATGCTTCCCCATGATTGGTTAGCCAGTAGCAGAACAGTAAAACCTTAATAAAACTCTTCTTATTCGTCCATCTATCCAACTTATCAGATTGTAGGTTTAACAGACATGTTTGCCCTTTCACACCAATTTCTGATAAATTTGAAGCCAATATGAAAGATATTTCATTAATGAGATTGATAAAAAAAAAAATCAATACAAAACTGTAACTCCTTCGAGTTTTACATTTAACTGTCAATCATTTGAGTATTTGTCATTCTGACTCAAAATATACAAAACAGAACAGCTTTGTTTTTTCCTTTATAAAAGTTTCATTTATGTTATATGTACAGTTTGTAGATGATACTTTCTTTCTACTATAACTATTTGACACACATTTAGATTTGACCCACTTAAAATTTCATATAATTCTGTTGTTATTAGTTTTTACTTAAGGGAAAATTAATTAACAAAATTAATGTTGAAGTGATTTCAGCCTGTATGTGCTTTAATATTGGATGATCTGATCCAGTATGATGATAGCACATCTTGAGCTAAAGGTCATTGATTCTCTGGGCTTTCCCATCAGAAATATGTGTCTCGCTCTAGATGAATACTTGTAATAACTGACTAATTTACATGATCAACACATTTCTGCCTGACTTCTTCTCTTACCTCATTTGTTGCAACACTGACACTTTTTGTCATAATCAGTTTTTAAATTATTCACACCTCAGAATTGCAGCAAACTTCTTCTGAGAATTAATTGTGTCGCTCCTAGCTAGCTAAGGGCCACCGATTCATTCAGCGAATGTGACGTGTCAGGTAGCTGGAGGAGAAAAACCTGTAAACCTGTAATGGTGTCATGTGCCCGGTGTTTTTGTTTTGAGACCATCCTTGTCATGTCCCTCTTCTCCCTGATTCCCTGCAGCTGTGTCGCGCCCTGATTGCTTCCCTTCTTAAAGCCTCCCTCAGCACCTACCCACTGCCAGATTATCGAACGCTCTCAGCAAGTAGTTTCTAGCTCTCTATTCATGCCCTCTGTGTTTCTGCCTCGCTCTTGTTCTCTGGATTTGCCCCTTTTGCCTTGCCCTTGTCGGACTGCTGTTTGCCTACCCGGATCTCGACCTAGCCTGTTCATCTACGCCGCTCACGCCTACTCCCTCGGACTCTGCTCTCTACTCCTTTGTGTATGACCTCGGCCCGGCTGACCAAGAACTTGGATCTTACTCTGACGCTACGTTGTGAGTACGCTGCCCTGCATCAGCGCCTCTCCCCCGGCCCCCCATGCTCAATCTCCTAGCCTGTACAGCTGTCAAACCAGTGTGCCGCTCTTAGCTTACGCTAATAAAGATCTTAAGTTTTCTGCTCACTCCTGTCTCGTGGCTGATTTCGGGTCCTCCTAGTGTGCTTTTACAAAACCAATCAAATTATCAACTTTCATTGTGCTTATTACTTTTGACAAGGACTTTACCTTCAGAGCAGCTAGTGAACGCAAACAGAGATAGGGTGAGTGAAAGGTGAAAGTGGGTGAAGTGTTGCAGAGGAAACACCTTCTACTGCAGCGTTTTGTGTTACTGATGAAGCCGCGACCTCATTCAGAAGGTGCTGCGTCTCCCTCTCATTCTGCTCAGCACTTCTATCTTCCATTTGATGACTTGGTAAACATCAAGTGTTTTGAGATGTATTACCTTCAACCTAGTGAAGGTTGTTCTACACTTATGAAGAAAATGTTGATGATGCTTTCATTTCTAAGACAAACTGACGGTAGGGGCACAGGAACCTCATGGGTTTACGAAAAGATGTACACATCCCGATCTTTCTCCATCATTTGTAACATATCAGAATAAAAAAAAAAGGATTTTCATATAATAGACCAGGGGTCACCAACTCTAGTCCTCCAGGGCTACCATCCTGCAACTTTTAGATTCACCTCTGCTCCAAAATGTCTGAATTCCCTCACCAGCATTCATTCCTCTCTGCAATATCTTGGAAACAACCAGTTTATTAGATCCAGGTGTGTTTGAGCAGAGACGCATCTAAAAGTTACAGGATGGAAGCCCTGGAGGACTGGAGTTGGTGACCCCTGTAATAGACCAACACTGCATTTCCATTGCAGTGAAATGGAAAGAAAAATGAAACAGTCTTTGAAATAAAAATCAGTCATTTGTGAAACTCTATTTTGGTGTCTTGCAGAATCTCAGACTGGACTTTGACTGAATCCATTTTGATCTGAACCATTCCTCTGTATCTCTGGCTGTGTGTTTAGGTTTGTTGTCCTGCTGGAATGAGAACTTCCAGTAAAATCTCAAGTCTTCTGCCACCTCTAACTGGTTTCCTTTCAGGATTGTCCTGGATTTAGCTCCATCCATCTGTCCATCAACTCAGTCCAGCTTCTCCGTCTCTTCTGCTTTTCAGCTGTGTCATTTTGTCGATTCATTGTAAAGCCATAGTACACTTCAATACTTCACATACTTTTAGTGATACAGCAAGTAAGACTTTATTTGTATATCTATTTAGTTCAAAGTGGGAATTACCTCCCAAGGTGGTGGAGAACGACTGAGATAAGATCCTGTGGGACTTCCTGACACAATCAGACAAAATAATTATGGCCAACCATCAAGACATTGTGATCATTAATAAGTAGTAGAGGACAGGCATTGTGATCATTAATTCAGCTGATAATGATTTTACCACCTAGCAGGGGCGTGGTATAGGGGGGCTGTCCACAAAAACAAATATATTTTTTTACAGAAATAAAAAAAAAAATCGAGGCCCTGTCAGTTACTGTTATTGTGTTTTTGAAAATAGTTTTTTGCATTAAAAATTAAATGTTACTCCTCCCAGACGAAAAAGCACACATCTATATTTGCACTGAAGACCCCTGTGTGTCTGCATGAAATGGTTCGTTCCTGCTTAGCGCCTTGATGGTGACGTTTTCAGCAGCAGTCAGTACAAGACAAGAACGACTGGTGCTGTTACTATACTGCCTAGAAAAATAATGAAGTCAAGTTTTCAAAATATAGAGATAAGAGAGAAAAAGACAAGAGTGGGAATTTGTAACTGTTGAGACGCTTTACCAAGGTCGAGAAAGAGTCACATGCTGTTAGACAAAAGGCCCAGTTACATTTTTGATTCTGTTAGACACCAAGATCCATTTCTCACGAAAAAGAAACGTTTTCTCAAGCCACAGAGACATGGTGTGATTTCAGGGAGTGTCTTCAGTCCATATAATCAGCTAGCTTCCTCCTTCTCCTCAGACGCTGCACAGACTTTTTTAGAAACTCTTCTCGGATGTAATGGTAAAGTGTCTCCTTTCAGCGCTGAAAGTTAATAAAATAAGTAGTCTGAATGCTTTTCTTGGCTGATTTTATGCTCCATGTGTCGATACAAATTATGATTCATCGATTGGGATTTCCATTCCCAACATAACCCAGTTTTTCTCCAAGATAGGTGAGTAGACTGTGTGAGATTATCAACCATTTAGCATAGGTAGCTTAGCTACAGACTACCGTTGCCTCCATAGCATTTAATGAATTAAGGAAAATAAATACCAAGATATTTATATACTTAACTTGTCCCTGTACCTTTTACCACAATTAACAACAGATGAGTCATTCAGCAGCAGCTCTAACCCATGATACCAGCATAAACCCTCCTCCTCCCCCGTCCCAGTCATAAAGGTGAAGAACACTTTGTCCAATGTCAATCTAGTTAGCACCATTCCACAGAACCCATAGGGATTTCTCTGTGTCTTTGCTCTTTTTGCAATTATACAACAAAAACAATATATTTGTTGCTGACAGAAATTCAAATAATCTTTATAAAATTATAAAAAAACAACCTCCTGTCTGGACTGCAGCCAGTCCAAGTAGTTTAACCTTAGCTTGCATTTAAATTACAGATATCTGTTGCCACGTCCCTCCCAACCCGTCCTCTCCTAAATGAAATAAATTGAAGCTGCAGTATGTAACTTTTATTAAAAAAAAAATATTTTTTACATATTTGTTGAAACTGACATTGTGTTGTGACAGTATGACATGAGAGATAATTTGTGAAAAAATTATTTCCTCTGCCTTCTCCCAGTGCTATCTAGAAACAACCAATCAGAGGCAGGAGGTGGGTTTTAGCGCTGTCAATCACAATCTCATGTGGCTGCTCATCCTCGCTCTCCCTCACTCTATGCTGTGCTGCAACTAGCATAGCCTGTTGTGAATTCTCAGTCTAGTTAGCATAGCTACCAATGACAGCAAATAAACAGTTTTCCTGTAACAATAA